TATACATTTGTATAAAATTTTTGAATAAGACGAATGGTTAAACATGTGAGAAAAAGTCAACGGCGTCATCTATTAAAAAACGGAGGGAGTATGTCATAAAAGAAAATGGAAAATAGTACTCTCTCCATCTCAGTTTAATCATCTCCTAAGTAAAAGGCATAAAAACCAAAGACACCAAAATATTTATCATTCTTAAAGTAATTCTAATCGGTTAAGGTGCTCCATCACTTTGTGACCCGTAGATTACTCGTGCTTTAAATATTGCATGTCATTGCATCAATAGAAATTAATTTTGATTGGTTGCATGCAACACATTTAATGACATCCATTTACTCTCTGTACAAATAAATGAAAAGACACCTTTTTTTAGAAAATGGATTAAAATCCGGCATCTACATCCACAATGGATGTAACGAAAAGACACTTGTTAATTATAATCATTTTAGGAAGACCTAAAAAAATCTTAGGGCAGGATCAAAATGGGATGGATGGAGTAGTAATCAGCGAAAAAATTAAAGCATATGACATAAGAGTATAAGAAAGAAGTGCAATTCTTAAAAAAAAGAAACTAAAATGAAAAACGTAAGGTTAAAAATATTGCGTCCTCCTCGTGTCCCTAACCGTGAGCTTGCTGGTAACACTTTGCCACAACTTTAGCAAGCAACTTTGATCAACCAAGTCTAATGTTTATTTTATTGCCATATGTTTGCTATACCATATCTTTTGGTTTCACTTGCCATAGGCATGCATTTTTGCCTAAACTTGTCTAACTTACAGCTAATAAGGATTAGCCACACAAATTGTGACATGCCCTTTTTGATAAACTTAAACAATATAATAAGAGATATATATGCATCAGTGATGCGGTGGTGCACGACTTCACCCATCTAGAGTTTAAATCCTGGTATACATAAATATTACGCACATTCAGGTAAAACTTCGATGGGATTTTAATGAGATTAGGGATGTGCCGTCGTGCTGATAGTTTCTATCTCTTTGAGTGTGTGTTATGGACACATTTGTAAGATGTGTGAATGTGATGTTGTATGTATAGTGGTGTGTACGCGTTTGTTATGTCATAAAAAAAAGAAATATATGTGCCAAAGTCAAACTGTCAGAGCGTCTAGCATGGGTATGTCATCTGGGATCTTACCAGATTTTAGTTTGATCAATATTGTGTTGAGCCGTCCGTACCAGCCATTCACTTGCATGATAAAGTGTTGAAAGAGAAGGATATTGCACTTCCTAAATAGTAGAAATTAATTACTCGTTAGGTTGGAATGATCTTTGTTTCGTTTAAGCTACTGCTAATGAGTTATTAAAAAGTAAAAAAAATAATTTCAGTTATAATTTTTATATCTAAGTACGTTATTAATATTTTAAAAGCTAATACCGAATAACAGATTAAGATGAATTCTAAAATCATTTTAAAATTTAAATTTTGATTACGGCTAATAAAAACTTCCTCTATCCTATATAAACTCAATCTGGATATCAGAGAAAGTTCTTTTAAGGAGAAAGAAGTAGACTCTGTTTTCATCAGGCAGCTAGTACTGTTGCGTGATGATTTGAGATTTCCAAGGAGAAGGAACATGGACGGTGACCGCACTCTCACGTATGATTGGAGGCTTGACAGCAGGTATAATAGAAGGCTATAAGCCAGCTATAAACATATTTTAAACAGATAAAGGAAGAGAGAGAATAGCAGCGGGCTATAGATCTGTAGCCAGCTGCAGCACGGACTTCAAGACGTGATGTGTGCATGACAGGTGAGACCAGATATTAATAGTATAGTAAGCACTATTGTATGAATTGACTATTACATTGGCTAAAAATGATTTAGAACTAGTATTGAGCTGTACTATTAAACTTGCTCTGACCACCATTCTCCATCTTTCAGACGATTCCCCATTCCTTTCATGTATCTCTCTCTTCTCGAGAAGGATTACACTCACCATTTTTATTGTTTCGTTCCATTCCATTTTCTTTCCTTTTCTTTCATGCAGATCAAGCACGTTTATGTGAGGTGTGCTTTTTTTTTTTGTTTTTTGTTAAAGGTGCTTTCTATAATATAGTTGGTTGTGTTAGGAAGATCGTTACAAAAACGCTGAAGAGGACGATAAGGTATAGCTGGCAAAACATTATGTCTAAAATAATGAAGATAAATATCTTAATTTGGGATTTAGCCAAATTTCGCTTTTTCCATTCTACTGTCTACATTCACTGTACTATGGAGTATCAATGTGTCAAAGCATTGATGAGTGAGGAGATGAGTTTCCACACAATTAATATGTAGTACTAGAAAAATTGTAGATCTTTAGGACTGAAAATGATGTTGTTGCGTGATATTTCCTCCGGGTTGATAATACTTGTCGTTTTGGAAAAGGGCACGGTCTCTAAAAAAACAACTTTGACCATTATTTTCTATTATAATATGTAAAAAAGTGTTAACAAATATATGATTTTATTAAAGTACTTTTCAAGACTAATCTATACATATAGCTACCATATTTGAAAGACAAATGTTTTAAAAATAATTCAAATTCAAAGATTCTAAAGTTTGACCCCACCCTTGTCTAAAACGACAAGTATTACCAGCCCGGAGGGAGTAGTGTAGAAACTATTTATGTAACACAACAGCTGATTGTTGTCCTGAAAATCATTTTATCACCTTAGTTTTTTTTTTTAGAAAATCATTTGTCATCTTCAGGATGGGCCTATCCATGTAGGCCAGTCATTTTTGTGAGCGGAATATGTTCACACCGAGTTCGAAATTCATCCCTGAATCACAAAACCGGATACAACACATCGCTCAACTTACAAAACCATGCAAACGAGATCCCTTAGCAGTATTATCGTCGGTATTGGTTGACGTGACGCCTATGTGGCTCCTTTGACTATGTCCTCTTCCCACGTGGCATTTGACGTGACGCTTACGTTGCAATTTGATCTGGAAAAATAATAAAACCCCTGGGACCAACATGCCAATTTCACACACAAAATAATAAAAAATATTGGGGCCCATGTGACCCATACATGTCATCGTTACTACTCCCCTCTTCTCTTTATCCTCTCTCTCATCTCTTCTCTCTATCCTCTCTCTCTAGTAGTAAGCTGGTTCATCTCATAGATGCTCTAATGGCCTCACTTACTGAGACGGCAGAGCGGGGCGGGCGGTGGCTGGAGTGGCGGTAGATAGAGCATGCTGGCAGAGCAGAGTGAACCATCGTCGTCAACCGCTGTCGCACCAGCCACAGCTGCCGCGCTCGCCGACAACCTCAAGCTCCTCCTCTGGACACCTTCGCTATTGTTGCCCCCTCCGCCGCCCACCCCGCTTCGACGGCCAGAGAGAGAGAGGATAGAGAGAATAGGGGAGAGAAAGAGGATAGAGAGAAGAGGGAAGCAGTGAGGATGACACGTGGGGCCACATGGGGCCCACTATTTTTATTATTTTGTGTGTAACTGACATGTGGGTTCCACAGGTTTGATTATTTTTCCAGGTCGAAGCGCCACGTCAATGTCATGTGGGACAAACACTTAGTCAAAGGAGCCACGTAGGCGCCATGTAAGCCAAAACCGGGGACAATACTAGTGAGGGATCTCGTTTGCGCTGGTTTTATAAGTTGGGGATGTGTTATATTCGATTTTACGGTTCAGGGATGAATTTCGAACTTTTGTGACAAATTTGAGGTAACTAAAGTGAACTTATTCCGTTGTTAAAGTTGGATCGCAGGCCCGAGCTGCAAAGGTAGTTGGGCCAGTATTGATGGGCATAAACCACGGCCTTTCTTTGCTCAATTTTGTTGCTCGTGGTTTCTCTCAAATTGCCTAGATTTTCATGCACTGTTGGTTAATGGTTACCCAAATTGTGCTTTGTAGCCTGGATTTTATTGAATTTCATCCTACTTCGCTTTGCATCCCCTTGTCCTAAGAAATTAATTTTTAAGACGGAGGGAGTAGGTTTAAAATGTGTCTCGACGTCCTACTCACTACTACAAAAATGGTTTTTTCTGGCGGCCAAAATCAGTCTTTGCTGACGGTTATGCTAGCCGCCTGAAAGCAAAGGCTAGAGAAAATAAAAGTTTTCACAAACGGAACTTAACCGCTAGCCAAAACGGATTTTCGCTGGCGGCTCTATTACATGGGCCGCCAGTGAAAACGGATTTTCGCTGGCAGTTGTCTTATGCGGGCCGCTGACAATGGTCCATTTTCGCTGGCAATGGTTCTCTTCTCTGCATCCAGATCCATCATACGACGCTTGTACAGCTCTTGGTCAACATGCGGTTGCAGGGGACGCCGATCCATCACCACTTTTGCGTAGGAGCGGTGATCTCGCTTCTTCTCCTCAACCCTCCAAATCTCCCTCGCACTGTCCCCAAATCGATGAATATCTGAGGAGGAAGCAGGGAACCCTAGCTCCGGATCGAGACCCCTCCCTTTTCTCACCCACAGCCAGCGGCTTGGAGACATTGAGGCTTTCGGGAAAAGGTCATCGATATAGAAACCCAAAGGCTGGGCTGAGAACGCGGGACGGCATGGGTGTAGCCCAACCAAAGCGTTGGGCTCCCAGGCAGCCCAGGATTCCCCTCCAGGGTCAGGGGGACGCGAAGCAGGCCGCGCAGATGGGGGTATCTCACCACGCTTTAGGGAAAATTTCCTCCAATTCGAGCGCTTTTCCTTAGGGGAAAAGTGTTGAACACCTTGCGCGCGCGCGCTCCAATGTCGCCACGCTGTGGCGCCCTCGTGTCGCCACGACACCACTCTCACCGCTCTCGCCACGACACATTTTTCCCTTCAAATAAGTTTTTACCCCAGAAGGTCGCCATGGAACTGGAACTGCCTGGCTGCTTCAGGGGAAGAAAAATACTAGTACTCCATCAACAAAACAAAGGAGGGAAGGGGAAGGAGCGCTCCATCACCAGAGGAAAAAACTTATTTATCTTTTTTATGGCTAAAATATAATGTATTTTAAGATAACATTTTACACGTATATGTAATATTATTGGAAGGATGTGACTATTTTTTTTTAAAAAAAATCGCGACATTCTTACCTGAATAAGAGATATTCCATCTATCAAATCTATTTTAGCAGTGGTATCTTTTTTTTTTTTTGCGGGGTTAGCAGTGGTATCTTTGACTAAAACCACTCGTGACAATGACATAATAATGTCCCGCTCCCCGACCAGCGTCCTCACCGCCGACCTCTGCAACGGCGAGGTCGCGTCGCTCCGTCGCCGCCGTTCCCTTCTGCCCCGCCGGCGCCGGGGGTGGACCCGGATGCATTCCCCCAAGGACATCGTCGCCAAGAACACGCTCTGACGAGATCGAGGTGAGTGGGAACTGGGAAGGCCCCCTCCCATGGTGAACCCCAACTCCATGGTGCTCCAGGCCCTCGCGGCGGCGAATCGAGGAGGAGGCCGAGAAGAATGAAGAGGAAGGCAGGGCCGCCGCGGCTTCACCACCAATGCTTCTTCTTCTTCTTGGTCGTCGTCGTCGTCGTCTTGTATGTATACAGATACAGCTATACACATAATTTTAGGATCAAAAGACGTACAGCTATATGTATTTCTGGGGGCTAATTTCAGTGCAGAGTGAATTAATGCGTTGTTGCTAATTGGATTGCTAGAATATGTGTAGCAGAGTGAAAGCTAGTGTGAATTGAGACCATTGAACAAATGGTTTAGAGATAATAACTTAGCTGCTTTCTTTGAATTGCCACATGTTCAGTTCAATCACCTAATTTTATCTGAAAAGAAATGTTCGATCACCCTTGTCTGGATGAATAGTTACTCTTGTCTTTACTTTCTAGTGATATTCTATATTGCTACGAAAGCACTGGTTGTCCTTCATTATGTTTGTAAGATTGAATTCGATAACATTTTTTGTCGTCTATTGCTTCTTTAGACAAAGAGGGTATGTATGTCAGTCAGTCAAACAGGTTTTCCATGGTTGTAAATCCTCTCTTACAAAGTTATAGCCACTAATTCCTTCCCAGAAATTGAAACTATGATCATGGCATAAGCAGTGTAGGGTGATCTTAACATAACCAGTAGCATACTATGCGCATCATGAATGTCAGAAACAGGAACATACCAGTAATGCGATAACATGCTAGAGGCATCATGTAGAACAGGAACAAGAACATAGCGCACACAGTATAGCGCTAACAATGGGAACAGGAGTAGCGCTAACAGCAGTAGAAGGAGAAGATTATACCCCGAGAATGGCCCTCCGCTGGATGGTGAGGCAGAATTGCCTCCGTTGTTGTAGTCGTTCATGGCACCTCCTCCTGGCGCACCAGCTCTGGATCCAGCTCCTGTCGGCGGCGCAGCTCCTGTCGGCGGCGGCGCACCACCTCCGCCAATAGCGGCGGCAGCAACTCCAGACATGGCGATGAGCAGTCGTGCAGGAGGCACTCCCCAAAAACCTGATCACCCGCCTACCCGATGCAGATCTCAGGCGAAGGTGTGGTTTCGGAGGCACTACTTCTTCCAATCTCTCGTGCGCGCAAGAGATCAGAAGCGGGGAAGCGAGAGCAACTCAGGCGCGGAGAAGGAGAAACTAACACCGGGAAAGAAGCGAGGAACTCGGATCGGACTCGCGGCCTCCTTATCTATCAGGAGAAAGAACGTGGACGCGCTGTTGCGGAGGGAATCGTGGGAACGTGGGTTAGTGGCTGCAAAAGGATAGCGACGTGACGTGACGCACGCACGCCGGCCAGCCTCGCCCACGGCCACGGCCACGGCCACGCCCGGCCCGGCGCGCGCGCGCGCGCGCGTGTGGCATTCCGACCCCCACCTCAACTGGTCAACAGGGAGCCTCTAATAACTCCCTATTTAGGTTGAGATATTTCTCGCTTAAATCCAGAGGTGGTATTATTATCCTCAACATTTATTATGGGCCTTTGAGATTTAATATTATAAGTTGGGCCTAGCCCAATTATTCTAACAATCCCCACCAAATTTCAAGGCTCATAAGAAATGTTCTCAAGGCTGTGCCTGTTTGATATACCAGGGTTTTGGTGGAGACTGTTAAGTTAAACTTCCACCTAGGAAATGAGCTACATCAGACCACAACTGAACAATGGACTATGCCTTGAATTGTCAGTTTTGTGTGATCAGGTTTCACTCAGACCCTTGACTGGTACTGGGCTGCCGTTCGCATCCCCTCTGTTTGGAGCATATAAGTCAAACTCCAGGCCTTTCATGAGTATCTAGAGATTGCCCAAACCTCATAGACTGTGACTAGCAGTCGAACTCATATAGGTGTGTTCCTTCTGAGATGTTCTGCAGGTCAACATCTCTGCTTGGAAAAACCACTCGGATCACATTAAGACATAAGCCATCCTACCATGCAGGAAAGAAGAGAAGCACATCATGAAAATGAGCCCCTTTCAAGGGTCTTTTCTCTCAGTCACACAATAATTTGTTTCACCATCCAAATTCACGGGATCTCCGATCACAATGGACAGGTTTCCACTATTATGCAACCTTAGGTGGGTATCAAGCCCATTTCCCTCGATGCACTGTCTATCACATTACGTGGTAGCCCCTTGGTAAACTGATCTGCCAGATTTCTAGCCGTTTGGACATAGTCCAATGCTATCACTCCGGAGTTTTTCTGCTTTCTGACAGATTTCAGTCTTCTCTTGATGTGTCTAGATGACTTCATGTTGTCCTTTGAACTGTTCACTTTAATAATCACTGTTTGATTATCGCAGTTCATTAGGATAGCTGGCACTGGTTTTTCAACCACCGGCAAATCCATCAGGAGTTCACGAAGCCACTCAGCCTCAACTGTCGCAGTATCTAGTGCTGTAAGTTCTGCTTCCATTGTTGACCTCGTTAAGATGGTCTGCTTGCAAGACTTCCAGGAAACAGCGCCACCTCCAAGTGTGAACGCATATCCACTTGTGGCTTTTATCTCATCAGCATCAGATATCCAGTTTGAGTCACTATACCCTTCTAGTACTTTTGGATACCCGGTATAGTGAATTCCATAGCTCATAGTGCCCTTTAGATAGCGCATTACTCTTTCCAGAGCCTGCCAATGATCATCTCCCGGATTTGAGACAAACCGGCTCAGCTTGCTTACAGCAAATGAGATGCCAGGCCTCGTTGCGCTAGCCAAGTACATCAATGAACCAATGATTTGAGAGTATCTCAGTTGATCCCTTCCTATTCTTCGGTTTTTCCTTAATAGCACGCTGGGATCATAAGGAGTAGGAGCTGGCTTACAGTCACTATATCCAAAGCGACTCAAAACCTTGTCCACATAGTGGGATTGCACAAGTGTAATCCCATCCTCATCTCCTCTTTGTAGTTTGATGTTAAGAATAACATCAGCCTCTCCCAAATCCTTCATTTCAAAACTCTTGGACAGATAGTCTTTGACCTCCTCAATCACATTAAGGCTGGTCCCAAAGATCAGTATGTCATCGACATACAAGCATAAGATCACCCCTTCTCCCCCACCATAGCGATAGTATACACATTTGTCAGCTTCGTTCACAACAAAGCCTGCAGATGTAAGCGTGGTGTCAAACTTCTCATGCCATTGCTTAGGTGCTTGCTTGAGGCCATACAAGGATTTCAATAGTTTACACACCATTCCCTCCTGACCTTCTAGTACATACCCGTCTGGTTGATCCATATAGATCTCCTCCTCCAGCTCTCCGTTTAGGAAAGCTGTCTTAACGTCCATCTGATGGACGAGAAGACCATGAGAGGCTGCCAGAGCAAGTAGTACTCGAATCGTAGTCAAGCGAGCAACTGGTGAATATGTGTCGAATAAATCCTCGCCTTCCTTTTGGGTATAACCCTTGGCCACAAGCCTTGCCTTATACTTTTCGATTGTACCATCAGGCCTAAGCTTTTTCTTGAAAACCCATTTGCATCCTACGGGCTTACATCCATATGGACGCTCAACGACTTCCCAAGTACCATTAGACATAATCGAGTCCATTTCACTGCGTACTGCTTCCTTCCAGTAGTCAGCGTCAGGAGATGAATATGCCTCTTCTATGGTTCTTGGGGTGTCATCCACGAGGTATACAATGTAGTCATCTCCAAAGGATTTTGCAACCCTTTGTCTCTTACTCTTGCGAGTATCTACAATGTTGTCCTCCTCAGGATTTTCCTCAGGCGTTTGATCATTGTGTTCTATCGGTGCAAAGTGCTCATGGGGCATGACAGTTTCTTTACTAGAAGTGTTAGGTGTATATTTCATAGGAAATTCATTCTCAAAGAAAGTAGCATCTCTGGACTCAAAAATTGTACCAGCATGCATGTCGGGTACTCCAGAGTTTACTATTAAGAATCTATAACCCACACTGTGGATAGCATAACCAAGAAACACACAATCAACAGTTTTTGGTCCAAGTTTCCGCTTTTTGACTATAGGTACATTTACCTTGGCCAAACAGCCCCATGTTCGTAGGTATGAGAGATTTAATTTCTTCCTTTCCCATTCCTCGAATGGTGTTACTTCCTTGTGCTTCATTGGAATTTTATTCAGGACATGACACGCAGTCAGAACTGCCTCACCCCACCATTCCTTGGAAAGCCCCGCAGTGTCTAACATGGCATTCACCATCTCAGTTAGAGTACGGTTCTTTCTTTCGGCCACCCCATTTGATTGGGGTGAATAGGGAGGCGTCATCTCATGAATAATTCCAAACTCTTCGCAAAAGGATGCAAACTCATTGGAAAAATACTCCCCACCTCTATCAGACCTCAACCGTTTGATTTTCCTTTCAAGTTGGTTTTCTACCTCAGCTTTATAGATTTTAAAGTAATGCAATGCCTCATCCTTTGTTTTCAATAGATACACATAGCAAAATCTAGTGCAATCATCTATCAGTGTCATGAAATATTTCTTTCCCCCTTTAGTCAACACGCCGTTCATTTCGCACAAATCGGAATGAACAAGTTCTAGAGGTGCCAAATTCCTCGCCTCAGATGCCTTGTGAGGCTTGCGAGGTTGTTTCGATTGAACACAAGTATGGCACTTGGAACCTTTGACCAAAGTGAATTTTGGAATTAAACTCATGTTAGCTAAGCGCATCATACAACCGAAATTCACATGACAGAGTCGCGAATGCCACACATTAGACTCATCATTCTCGCTAATATGGTTCACAGCGTTATGATTATTACACATGTCATTCAAAGAAAAGCGGAACAAGCCTCCGCTGTCATAACCTTTTCCAACAAAAGTCCCATATTTAGATACGACACATTTATTGGACTCAAACACAAGTCTAAAACCTTCTCTACACAATAGAGAGCCGCTAACTAGATTCTTCTTTATTGAAGGGACATGCTGCACGTTCTTCAGCTGCACGGTCTTTCCCGAAGTAAACTTCAGATCGACCGTACCAACACCATGAACAGCCGCAAGCGACCCGTTTCCCATCAACAAGGAGGAACCTCTCCCGACCTGATAAGAAGAAAACAGAGAAATGTCAGCACATACATGAATATTAGCACCAGTATCCACCCACCAATCAGGTGAATGAAAAACAGAGAGAACTGTAGGTAATATTTTACCGTACCCCGATGTTCCTCCGCCCTCGCTAATGATCATGTTGGCAGACTTCCTGTCTTTGCGCTCAGAACAGTCCTTGGCCCAATGCCCAGACTTGCCACACACAAAGCAGTCTCCCTTTGCCTTTCTTCTTAAAATTGGTTGCAGCCTTGGGTTTGACATCAGGCTTGACTTTCTTGTTGTTGTGGGATGCATGAGGGTTCTTCTTCTGTACCATATTGGCACTAGAACCTCCCTCAACCTTTTTGCCCCGGACGTCCTTTGCCCTCGCCTTCTCCTCAACACCCAAAGAGCCAATGAGATCAGGAACACTGAACTCTTGTCTCTTGTGCTTTAGAGAAGTGGCAAAGTCCGACCAAGAAGGTGGTAGTTTGGCAATAATGCCACCCGCCACAAACTTGTCCGGCAACTCACAGTTGTTGTTCTCAAGTTTCTTAGCCAGCATCTGAATCTCATGAGCTTGTTCTACTACAGAACGGTCATCGACCATCTTGTAGTCATAGAACTGCTCCATGACATACAGCTCACTGCCGGCGTCAGAAACTCCGAACTTGGCCTCAAGTGCATCCCACATGTCCTTCCCAGAAGGCATGTGCATGTACACGTCCACTATGTTGTCAGCGAGTACACTGATCAATGCTCCACGGAACAGGCAATCCGAAGCCTCGAACTTAGCCTCTTCCTCAGGAGAAAGAGGTGGTTTACTTCGTTTACCCCGTGAAACATAGAAGCACTGCATCGCTGTCAACCACAATAGTGCACGTGCTTTCCATCTCTTATAGTTTGAACCATCAAAAGCATGTGGTTTCAGTGCAGCAGCAAAGCCAACTACCGAAAATGACCTATCAGGTTTTTGGATTGTTGGAAATATAGTCATTATTCGGCATATTTTAATCCAAGAAATTGAAACTATGATCATGGCATAAGCAGTGTAGGGTGATCTTAACATAACCAGTAGCATACTATGCGCATCATGAATGTCAGAAATAGGAACATACCAGTAATGCGATAACATGCTAGAGGCATCATGTAGAACAGGAACAAGAACATAGCGCACACAGTATAGCGCTAACAATGGGAACAGGAGTAGCGCTAACAGCAGTAGAAGGAGAAGATTATACCCCGAGAATGGCCCTCCGCTGGATGGTGAGGCAGAATTGCCTCCGTTGTTGTAGTCGTTCACGGCACCTCCTCCTGGCGCACCAGCTCCGGATCCAGCTCCTGTCGGCGGCGCAGCTCCTGTCGGTGGCGGCGCATCACCTCCGCCAATAGCGGCGGCAGCAACTCCAGACATGGCGATGAGCAGTCGTGCAGGAGGCACTCCCCAAAAACCTGATCACCCGCCTACCCGATGCAGATCTCAGGCGAAGGTGTGGTTTCGGAGGCACTGCTTCTTCCAATCTCTCGTGCGCGCAAGAGATCAGAAGCGGGGAAGCGAGAGCAACTCAGGCGCGGAGAAGGAGAAACTAACACCGGGAAAGAAGCGAGGAACTCGGATTGGACTCGTGGCCTCCTTATCTATCAGGAGAAAGAACGTGGACGCGCTGTTGCGGAGGGAATCGTGGGAACGTGGGTTAGTGGCTGCAAAAGGATAGCGACGTGACGTGACGTGACGCACGCACGCACGCACGCCGGCCGGCCTCGCCCTCGCCCCGGCCCGGCGCGCGCGCGCGCGCGTGTGGCATTCCGACCCCCACCTTAACTGGTCAACAGGGAGCCTCTAATAACTCCCTATTTAGGTTGAGATATTTCTCGCTTAAATCCAGAGGTGGTATTATTATCCTCAACATTTATTATGGGCCTTTGAGATTTAATATTATAAGTTGGGCCTAGCCCAATTATTCTAACATGTCAGTCAGTCAAACAGGTTTTCCATGGTTGTAAATCCTCTCTTACAAAGTTATAGCCACTAATTCCTAAAGCTTAACATGCAAAGATGCCACATCATCACCCACTAACAATTATTACATTTAAGCATAATGCAGGCATGCTATATTATTTATAATTTAATAATTCATTAAATTTTAGAGATTTAAAATGTAAGCATGTTAAATTATTCCATATAATTCACATAATATTTCAATATATCTCTCCATCATTTTTTATAATATCCTATATACCAATATAGTTCAATCTCACTTAGTTCATGCTATTTTTCTTTTCTCTCATTAAGTCATATCACATCAATTGTTTTTAGTCCTTAGATGATTAATCTATGGTTCAAATTATCTCTTTTTTTTTCTTCTCTCATTAAGCCATATCATCTCAATTTTTTTAGCCCTTAGATGTATGGTATAAATTATCTTCATTCTTTTCTTCTTTCATAAAGCCACATCATCTTAGTTTTACATTTGAATCATCATTCTACATACTATTTAAATTTAAATCACATCAAATTATGTAAACTTATACTCCATTTATGTAAGCTTATGTTGTTTAAGATATCTTACACATTATTTTTACTTATTATTATCATAGTAAACTCCCGCAGCAAAGCGTAAGGTTTCATCTAGTTGTGTAAATGTTCAGGTGTTACGATGTCCCAGCAATGACTTCTTAAGCCTATAGTGCCATGGAGCAACTATCGTGTGTAAATCCTACAATTATGAGGTAATTTATTTCCCATGAATTTAGTTTAGTTTTTTTAATGAAAAGAATGGTTTAGTTTTGAGCATATGAAAAAGATAGGGCCTTCACCTCAGTAATCTGCATTGCTAAGAAACAAAGCAGTGTAGTGGATTTAAAAGTATGGTATGAGAAGACAACGAAAATGAACGGTGCTTGTCGGAATGAGTCACAAATTGAGTACTGTACAATAGTCACTGAATCGTTCATTTTACCTTTTGACTGTTGTAGCATAACATAAGTCATCTAATTCTTTACCTTGACTTTTGTGCAAACATAGTCAATTTTGGACATATTTGCCAATTTAAAATAGAGTTCATGCAAGTATTTATTCAGTGCTGTTATGAATGGGCTTTGTTGGTACTGCAATATATGATTTTGAATTTACTAAAACTTTGATACTACTTATGAGAATGAATTGGGAAAGTAATCCTTAATACCTAGTTGCTTATGAATCCCATAGCTCATCCAATATAACTCGACTGCAATTTTTGGATAGAAAACTAGAAGTCTGATAATCAATTAGTGTCTGGTAGACCTCCTGCATTGTTGGTCTTGCTTGCGGAGAAGCTTTCAAGCAAGAAAACACCACCTTAATGAGGGAAACTATGTTTTCTTCTTCTGTCGTTGTTGGTGCTAAAGGTCGTGAATCCAGGATTTCCTTGATTGTTATATTGTGATCCCTTGATGAAGTCAGATGCTGCAATAAATCTCTTGGGTGCTTCCCAATCACTACCTCTAGCATAACCATGCCGAAACTATACACATCACATTTCTCTGTCACCAAAGATGTATAGGACAGCTCTACACAAGGAGAGAACACATATTAGTAATCAATGATTAGATATCAAAGCTTTTTGTATAAGAAAGTATATACCAGGAGCTATGTAGCCATATGTACCAGCTAGCGCACTCCAATTAGATGAATCAGGTCTCAAAATCCTCGCTGTACCAAAATCTGAGACATAAGCCTTCAAAGTTGTATCAAGTAAGATGTTGTTGCTGGTTATATCTCGATGAATTATTGGTGGATTGCAGTCGTGGTGCAGATAACATAGTGCTTGAGCTACATCCTTTATAAGAATATTCCTCTTTTGCCAATCTAATGCCTTAGCTAACTCATCATCAGCTAAGGTCATATGGAGGCTTCCCTGCTCTATGTATTCATAGACAAGAAACCTGTACTCTGGATGGGAGCAGAATCCATACAGTTTGACAATGCTTCGTTGTCGGATTTGTGTTAAGATTTCCATTTCACATGAAAATCTTTTTTCATCACCCAACCCTTCTTCAGTTGTGTGAAGCTTCTTCACAGCAACTACCTGCCCGTCCTGGAGTTGTGCTCGATAGACCTTGCCATAACCTCCCGCTCCAATGATGTACTTGTCATCGAAATCTTCTGTTGCCCTGACAATATCCTCAAATGCTAATCTTCCATCAAAATTCCAAACAGAGAACATGTCCCTTCCTTTGGCTGTAGTACTTTCTTGTGGTTTTCTCTTGTTATGAATAAACACCGTTCCGAGAACAACTGTAGCAAGAATGGCAAAACCCAGAACAAGAACAACCGGCAACAGAAAACGAAATAGCTTTCTTTTGTTGTGACCAGGTGCTGAGTAACAAGACGGCAGGCCAGAGAGATTACCGCATAGACCTTTATTGTTGAGAAACCAGCTTGCTGAAGCATTTTGAAATAGTCGCCCTGCTGGTAGTGGTCCTTCTAAGTTATTGTATGACGCATCAAGTGTTGATAGGCTCACCATGCTTGCAAAGGAAGTCGGAATTCTTCCAGTGAACTGGTTGTGAGATAAATTTAGAAATACCAGCATCTGCATCCTTCCAAAGTCTTGCGGCAACAAACCATCAAGTTTGTTATTGCTAACATCTAGCATGATTTGTATGCTTGCTAAATTTCCAATTGTGGCAGGCAAATTCCCACTGAAGTGGTTGTTGTTGATCCTCAGTAACTGTAGTTTGGTGCATCTCCCAAGTTCCTCAGGTATTGGTCCACTCAAACTATTTCTGGAAACATCAAGGTATTCTAAATCTCTCAGGTTTCCCAACTGCGAAGGTATGGATCCTGATAACTTATTGAACGACAAATTCAGACTATATAGATTTATTAAATTCCCTATTTCTGGTGGAATCACACCATTTACATGATTAGAACTGAGTTTTAGTTCAACTAGGTTGGGCAATTTAGACAGAGCTGGAGGTATTGTGCCTGTGATCATATTTTCTGCTATATTTAGAATAGCTAATTCTGGACAAGCACCCCACTTTGGTGAAATCTGCCCAGAGAGCCTATTGGACATCAAGCTCATCTTTTTGAGTTTTGGATACACACCAAAATGTTTGGATATATCTCCCGTTAACTGGTTGCCATCAAGGAAAAGTCGAACCAACGATGTGCACGTCTTCAAGCTCCTCGGAACAGGGCCATTGAACATATTTAAAGACAGAAATAAAAGTTTGAGGCTTGTGCCAGCACATATATTTGCTGGCAACTGCCCTGAAAGGGAGTTACTTGCTAGGTCTAGCTCAACCATGTTTGTGATATTTCCAAATTCCTGAGGAAGAGAATTCGACAATTGGTTACTACGAAAATTCAGATTTTGCATGTTTTGAAAGTTCCCTAAAGATTTCGGTATTGAGCCGGAAATTTGATTCTCTTCCAAAGACAAAAGTTGAAGGTTCACTAGGTTGCCGAACTCCTGGGGGATAGAGCCATTTATCTGATTTTTACTGAGGTCCAGTGCAATTAGCTTGGTAAGGTTCGCTAAGGTGCCAGGTATAGAGCCAGAGATTTGATTGCTGTGCAGGATTAAGTTCTGGAGATTTGATATGATCCCTAGTCCTGGGGGTATTGAACCAGTAATTTGGTTTTCATGGAGGAAAAGATTGTTCAGCATAGTGAGGTTGCCTAGTTCTGTGGGTAAGGAACCTTTTAATTTATTTTCATTGAGAACAAGATCGGTGAGCATGGCGAGATTGCCTATTTCAGGGGGAATGGAACCAATTATTTGGTTTCTAAAGAGATAGAGTTTGATCATCTTAGTGAGATTGCCTATACATGTGGGGATTTCACCAGTAAGTTTGTTATCACCAAGAGCAAGATATTGCAAGTTGGTCAGCTTGCAGAGTTTTGGTGGTACAGGCCCTGACAGTTCATTACCATCTAGATAGAAAGTATCTAGGTTGGTCAGATTTGCTAGAGTTGTTGGTATCTCGCCGCTCAACGTGTTGTTGCTCAGCTGCAAAAGCTGCAGGTTGGCAAGCATTCCTATCTCCTTTGGGATGGGACCAGAGACCATATTTCGGTGAATGGAGAGCTCGGTGATCATCGTCAGGTTACCCACGGATGCAGGGATGTGGCCTGTGAGGTTGTTGTACGAAAGATCAAGCATGGTGAGCCTCTGAAGCTCACTGATCTCATCCGGCATTCTTCCTGTGAGCTGGTTGAGTTGAAGGTCAAGGTAGGTGAGTGCTGATAGAGAGCTGATACTTGAGGGTATTGGGCCATAGACACTGTTGCTGCTGAGATCAATATATGTGAGGAAGGGAAGAGATGAGAAGTTGAGCTCACCAAGCTGGCCATGGATGCCGGCATCTGGCAAGGAGATGTTGGTGATGACCCAGGACATAGCTTGATGTGCAGCTCTGCATGTGATTCCGGTCCAGTTGCAGGGGCTTGTGCTGGCCTGCCAAGAGCTCCTCATCTGCGGCCCTGTGCTCTGGAGAGTAGATTTCCAGTGGAGGAGGGCCATCTGCTGAGACCTCAGTGAGATTCCACCATGACGATGCACCGCATGCGCCATCGGTAGAAGAAAACACGGCAGGAGCAGTAGATACAGGCAGAGGAAGGGTGTTGAGGAGGAATGCAGTTTGTAGCACAATATTTCCATTTGGTGCCAACTGCGAAATTTTCAAGAATTTGTTTTGGACTATTGGAGGGAGAGTTGGTTGGGGCAACTATTTTCATGGACAGTGCAAGCTCCTGAATCCTACCTAATATATAGTATTCCAGGGTTGTCTGTCAGCACAGGGAAGTTGGATTGGATTAACTTTCTGCCTCTCTTTTTGATTTTTTCTTCAGCGTCGCCATCCTTACCATCGTTTTTCTACACTAGGATGGTGCAGGATCCACGGCTGTTGCTGTAAGTCTTCCTTTTCCATTTAGTGTTTGACATCTCCGAGTCGATAAAGCTTAAGATACCTGTTTAATCATGCATTCCTATTTCACAGCAAGTTCTTTTGTTGGAGTGTTCGCAAAAAAGTTCTTTTGTTGGGATGGCCGAATTTATTAAGAATGAGAGAAACATATTGCACTAGGAAAGACAAACAAAAAAGAGAACTGCTGCCTCAAAGTTACTTAAGTCATACTACACGATGGGTCAGTTTTGAAGCAGCTGGAAAGTACCCCGTTTGATTTATATTATTGAGCGGATTATTGCAAGGATTATCTACTCAATTATAGGAATAAATTCAATATTCTGATATTAAGCTTAATAACAGTTCTAAAAAAGTGGTTTAAGAAATGCTCTAGAGGAAAGTTTTTTGAGAAAACATATTTTTTTAAAGTGTCGAGCAATTATTCCGTTTTAATGATCTAATGAATAATCCAAAAAGAACCTGGCAGATCATCCAGCAGAATGCCCTGAGAATCCTTGCGTTGCCATCCTTACAGATGATTCAAAAGTTCAGAACTGTATGAGTTTGCTTAAGTCATCATTGTTGACATTGGGTGTGCAATTTTTTTTCTCCATATGATTTGCTCACTTATGAGTTATGACTTATGAGCTTACACACACACATTGATATCACGATACTGGCATATACCTTAAAAAGATATCAGTGTAAAATAGTATTTGGACACAGAATTAGGCTAATTTCGTTTTAATAAACTCTTACACGGACCCTTCTGGATTCACTCAAGGCATGGTGTCCATGTTACTGACTAGCATAAACAAAGAAGTCTCTATGCCTAGCACAGACTAAGTCTTCATCTGCATGGTGTTTATGTGGTTGAAGGTATTCACGAGTCAATCCCCTGTATGTTTCAATCTAAATGTTCACCATAACAACTATTCTCATGTGATTTTCCAATATATTCCATTCAGATTGCATTCTTTTTTCAGCTGAGCAGTTTCATTGGTTTATGAAATACAGTATCTTGCTATGCTGATGTAGCCTGACTGCCCATATTTTTGTCATATGCCCATTTGCACTGTAATCCGTTTCTTTCTGTTTTTTTTTCAGGTGATTCCAAGAGGCAACTTCGAAAATACCCAAGCAAGTTGAGTACATGTGTCCTGTAGGAATTACAATAAGCCATTTTTATGCGTAACAATATGCCTGTTCATTCTCATTTCATAAGCATAACAAGAATCAGAAGAGGGTTCAAAGGAAGGAATTATAACAGCCATTATATATGTTTCATATATATTTTCTTGTGTACTCAGCAGTGCCAGGTCGGAGAACATGCTGCCTTCACCAACTTGCTGAACCTGATAGACATCAGATGCATGAACTGGATGGGCGTGTTTAATTTCATGCTTCTATTCGGTGGCGGATCTAGAAAATTGATTCGTTGGTGCTAGAACGTCTCTATCGGTGTTACAGTATATTAATTATACTTAAATCATGGTGTTATAGCATATGGATAAGCAGTTTCGCTATAGTTTTTTGCTGAAAGTCGTCGGTGTCGCCTGACACCGGTCCTTCTACTGTACATCTGCCCCTGCTTCTATTGGAATTAGGGGTGTAGTACAAGCCTAAACGGGATGTCTCTTTCATCAACACACAGTTTGGTTTGACCTCATAAAATAGAAATGGAAAAATGGAATAGAACAAAGTGAGTCATGTAGCTATATTAAGGGCCTAGGCTTAGGCTTTTAAGCCAATTTTTTTGCTTGTATATTTCATAAGCCAGTGACTTTGAAGCCTTAGGTGTATTGATGCAGTCATACCTTCACTTTAAATAAGCTGAAAAATTTACTCCGACTTACCTTTTAGCAATAGTGTAAGAATAGCTTATGGCTTTCAAAAACAGGAAAAAAACAGTTGCTTGTTTGTTTATCATAGGCTTTTTGGCTTATAAGTTACTACATCCGTTTTGTAGTATGACATTGTTGACTTTTTACATAACGTTTGACCATTCGTTTTATTCATAAATATATAAAGTATAAGCATGTGAAATTACAAGTTAAGATTATAGTTTTTTTATTACAGTATAAAATAAGTTATAATATATATTTTGAATAAGATGAATGATCAACGTCAAAGTCAGCGAAGTCATTACTTTTGAAAACGGAGGTAGTACTACTAGCTTATACAAACATGGATTAAGGCTGTGTTTGGCAATGATAGTTAGGAACTAATCCCCCGCAATAGAGTGACTCATTAGCGGCCGTTCAGTTTTGGAGCGTGGTTTCATTGAGGTGGCTCCTCTTCCCCTCCCTGACCACGTCATGTGCCTTGTGGGGAGGCCGACGCACGCTGACATGTTAGTGGATCCCACAATATATTTTAGGAACAAATGGGTCCCACATATTTTTTTTCTAATTCTAATGCCATGTAAGCGCCATGTCACCATCACGTTGGATGAAGCCAAGGTCAACACCGCCACATAGGCGTCCCATCAGCGAAACCGTCCTCAACCACCGAGGGAGTCAAATTGCACCGATAGTATTAGTTAGGAGATCGAGATATCTGGTATTGTGATTCAAAAATACGAATCATATTCGACCACTAGTTAAGGGAGTAAGAGTGGACTTACTCCGTACAATATCAACCCCCCACCCACCTCCATGGGCCGGAATTGAGCCCAACCAACTAAACCAACCGAACGAGGCCTCAACCGTCACACCTACTTGCTGTTGTTACCCAGTGGGTGTTGGTTCCTCCGTTCCGTTCCGTCCTGGAGGCGCACAGCTCAGGGAGGAGGCGCCCAGTACAAATTACAAACAACAACGACAAATCTCCAAAACTGAATCTCTCTCTCCCTCTCCCCTCCATTCCATTCGATTCGACCCACCACCGCCACATAAACCAAAAAAAAAAAAAAAAAAACCGCCGCCGCCCGCCGCCGCTTGCTCCTCCTCCGCTCTACTCTCACAGCCGCCGCCGCCGCCACTCCTCTCCTCCCGTCGGCGGCGACCGACCTAGGGTGGGGGGCTCGACTCCTCTCGCCTCCGAGGTAAGCATGCGTCTCGACTCCTTCCCCGCATCCATTTCCGTGCCGTACGAGGTCAGGTCAGGGTTTCAGGCGCAGGGGGGGCTCCCAAGCCCTAGCGGCCACACCAGCTTGCGCGTTTCTGGTACGTACAACGCACCCGCGCGCAGAGGGTGAGAGAGAGCGTGATGCGCATGGGGGTAGCCATAGCGGGCTTGGGTTGCTAGGGTTTGGTGCTGGCTGTGGCCGCGATCTGATATGGAGCGAACGGAGGGGATTTTTTTTTTGAGCTGGAAGCAAATGGGCTGCGATTTTCCCTCTCTATTTGCAAGGGTTTTTCTTTTTGGCTCTAGTGGAGGTGTGCAGTGCTGCAACTTTGAACCAAGTGATGCATTAGGGATCTTACCGTTTGGTTTCAACCTTTTTTTTTCCCTAGCGGGTAGTGGCTTGTGAATGAATGAGGTGGGTGATGTTGTAATGTGTGCTAAATAATTTCAGACCGTGAGATTGTGCTCAATCGGCGGCTAATGTGTTATTGATAGGAAATGTTGGTTTTCCAAAGGGGTAATGTAGTTAGTTTATTTTGCAGTATTCGACGTCAGTTCCTCAAAATGGTCCTGTTAGGTGTTCACTAATCTCAGTTATACTGATTGCTGGACTTCACCCTACTGTACAACTCATCAAGTGACTTACCTGATGTTCACCCTTAGATTTTCATATACCTTACTGTTCTTTACAAAATCTAATTGCAGTCCGAGTGAGCAACTGGGCAAGTACTGAGAACCCCAAGTGACATTTAGAAGATCTATTCATTCATATGAAATGTCACTGCTTAGTAGATTCTTCTACAAGAGGCCTCCTGATGGATTACTGGAGTTTATTGATAGGGTCTATGGTGAGCCTCCAAATTTTGTAACACGGTCACATTGTCCTTTTACGTGCCATTTGAACTGATTTTGCTCTTTGTTACATTGCACAGTTTTTGATTCATGCTTCTGCACAGAAGTCTTGCCACATGGCATGTACCCAGTCTATTTGACTGGTATTCTTACAGATTTGCATGAAGAACATAGCCAGTCTTCATTTCTGGGTATTAATTTTAGAGACGGGGATAAGAGAAGCCAACTCGCTGATGTCCTGCGTGAATACAATGTTCCAGTAATTGACTACCCTCGTCATTTTGAAGGCTGCCCTGTGCTTCCTTTATCTCTTATCCAGCATTTCCTTCGTGTCTGTGAACACTGGTTATCCACCGGAAATAATCAAAATATCATACTGCTACATTGTGAGAGGGGAGGCTGGCCATCATTAGCATTTATGTTATCGTGTCTCCTTATTTTCAAGAAACTGCAGAGTGCAGAGCATAAAACTCTGGACCTTATTTACCGTGAGGCACCTAAAGGGTTTTTGCAGCTCTTTTCTGCCCTCAACCCAATGCCCTCTCAGCTCAGATACCTGCAGTATGTAGCTAGAAGAAATATATCTCCAGAGTGGCCTCCAATGGAGCGGGCACTCTCCTTTGACTGCCTGATTCTTCGAGCCATTCCAAGTTTCGATTCCGATAATGGATGCAGGCCATTAGTCCGAATATTTGGGCGAAATATTATTGGCAAGAACGCTAGTACGAGCAACATGATTTTTTCAATGCCTAAGAAGAAGACTTTGCGCCACTATCGGCAGGTATGTGCTAGAGTTAATTTAGCATTGCCATCTACTTGCTTTGTGTCACTTTTTTTTGCATTAATCTGCAAGGTTATTATGCAGGAGGATTGTGACGTGATAAAAATAGATATACAATGTCCAGTCCAAGGAGATGTTGTTCTGGAGTGTGTACATCTTGATCTTGATCCAGAAAAGGAAGTTATGATGTTCCGGATAATGTTCAACACTGCTTTTATTCGTTCGAATGTACTAATGCTGAACAGCGACGATATAGATATAGTATGGGGTTCAAAGGATCAGTACCCAAGAAATTTTAGAGCAGAGGTATGAGCATTGCACATACTCTTTGTAACTTCAAGATACAAATTAATAATTGAACCTAATTTGGAAGTGCAGATGCTGTTTTGTGAGCTTGGGGGCATATCTCCTGCAAGACCTCCAACAGCAACATTGAATGGTGATATGAAAGGAGGTTTACCAATTGAAGCCTTTTCAGCTGTTCAAGAACTCTTCAATGGAGTTGACTGGATGGAAAGCAGTGACAATGCTGCCTTTTGGTTGCTCAAGGAGTTCTCAGCAAATTCCCTCCAAGAGAAATTTCAAAAGCTAATACTCAGTGATATGGAAGAGCTTTCAAAGTTTCAAGCTAAAGTTGGTCTCCAAATACCGCTAATGTCTCCTCTGGATTCTGATGAAGAAAAGTATTCAGTGGCTTCTGATTCGGTTTCTTCATCTGAGCATGAGAAGGTTCAGCCTGGTGGCAACTCATCTGACTCGGAGAACATTAATCATGATCTTACCACTGAAGATACTGCATCCATGGGTATAGCATTTGCCATAAGCATTGTGTTATGCAACTTTATATTGCTATATACCTGTTGCTATATATTCCCTCTGGAAGAATATGCCTTGTGTTGCTAAACCTGTTGTTTCCATGCTATCGATTCCCCCAAAATCACTTCCGTTTCCTCCCAATTCTGTTCTTTTTGTTGCTATCTGTTTAAATTCTTATTCACAACCCTTAAAATTTTGCAGGCAATGTCTTGGTGAACACTCCATCTGTCCTACCTCCCACGACACCACCTCCTTGTGGTAGCTTATCTATCCTTTCCACTGATGAAAATCAGCTGCCCCCAGAAGTACAGCATGAGTCACCAAGTGACAGGAAGCTACCATCTCCATCACCAACAGCTGCTGCACCGCCGCCGCCACCACCGCCACCACCGCCTCCAAGTGGAAACAAACCTGCCTTTTCCCCACCACCACCACCACCGCCGCCACCACCACCACCACTTCCTCAGAGTAACTATGCATCTTCTCAGCCTCCCCCACCGCCACCACCACCACCCTTGCCAAACTGTTTAGTCCCATCTCCACCTCCACCTCCACCACCGCCACCAATCTTGCCAAACCGTTCAGTCCCACCACCTCCACCGCCACCACCGCCCTTGCCAAATCATTCAGTCCTGCCACCTCCACCCCCACCACCGCCACCACCATCCTTGCCAAACCGTTTAGTTCCACCACCTCCAGCTCCGGGAATAGGTAATAAATTCCCTGCACCTCCTCCACCCCCTCCTCCCCCTCGCTCTTCTAGCAGAACGCCTACCGGTGCTGCCACTTCGTCAAAAGGGCCACCTCCTCCACCACCTCCACCTCTGCCTCCAGCTAATCGCACCAATGGCCCTGGTGTTCCATCTGCACCCCCACCTCCTCCACCTCCACCTCCAGCTAATCGCAGTAATGGCCCTAGTGCTCCAGCCCCACCCCTGCCTCCACCATTGCCTGCAGCTGCTAATAAAAGAAATCCTCCAGCACCACCACCTCCTCCCCTGATGACAGGAAAGAAAGCTCCTGCACCACCACCTCCGCCACCTCAAGCACCAAAACCTCCTGGAACAGTACCCCCTCCGCCACCATTGCATGGTGCATCAGGTCGACCACACCCCCCAAGCTCAAAGGGTTTAAACGCACCTGCACCACCTCCACTATTGGGAAGGGGAAGAGAAGCAACTGGATCAGCAAAAGGTCGTGGAATTGGATTGGCACAGCAAAGTAACCCTCCAAAGAAAGCTTCACTAAAACCTTTGCATTGGGTAAAAGTTACACGAGCAATGCAAGGCAGTCTCTGGGAGGATGCGCAAAAACAAGGAAATCAGGCTAGGTAACTGCCATTGGAAAAGCCATAGCTTGAATTTTCCTATTTTAATGCATCACCCTTTCATTTTGCACCCTTCAATTTCCTATGATGATTTTACATTATTCATTCATACCACTTAAGTGATAAAGTACCACATCCTTGTTTGTGGACTTACAGTTATATTGCTCTCTTGACTAAAATCTAAATGAACTGGAATGCTGGATTGATGCATTTCTGCTTTTTTCATCCTAAAATTTCTTGCTGGGTTTGCAATTCGATTTTCTTTTTAACAGTTGGATAATCCCTCTATTGGAACTGTTACTTACACGTTTATTTAGATAATGAAATAAACTTTATTTACATATGAACTATATTTTAGGGCTCCTGATATTGATTAAACTTTATTTACATATGAACTATATTTTAGGGCTCCTGATATTGATTTATCAGAATTGGAGAGCTTGTTCTCCACTGCGGTTGCAACCAATGCAAGTGAAAAAGGAGGAACAAAGCGCGGTTCAGCTATTAGCAAGCCAGAAATCGTTCATCTGGTATGTACTACTACTCAAACATTTGTATGCTAAACACTTGTATCACAACCTTTTTATTCAGTTGTTCCATGATATGTTGGAATGTTAGAACTCTTGTTTGTCTAAAGCTTTTTCTATTAGATTGCACGATGCATGGACACTGCCTTTTCTTCCGTGAATATATATTTATCCTTTTTATGTATGTGATCAGTTTATTGATAATGAGACTACATAAGCTTTTGAGTTCAATCATAAAAGTGCATAGTAAAGCATGGAATTATGATTTGTTGCATACATGGTATTCCCTGCTGCAATCTTTGCACTCTTTTGAGTGGCATTTGCTTGCAACACAGACTTCTGATTTTCTTTATTGTTATATTTGAAGACTTCAACTTATTTGTAAATCAACACCATCCTATCCTGTCATGGAGAATTCTGTTCCTCATTTCATTAGACAATGAATTCTTTGTTTTTATTTCAGGTTGATATGAGAAGAGCAAACAATTGCGAGATCATGCTTACTAAAATTAAAATGCCTCTTCCTGATATGATTGTAAGTATCTTTCTTGATTGAGCCGCTCCCTTATAATAGAAAGAGATTGGACATCAGTTTCCTCATGCAGAATATTGATAACAAGTTATTTTTTGCTCTGTTGATAACCTTTATTTATTTATCTTGAATACCTGAAGTTTCTGTGTTTCCTGGGTATGTATATTTCTAGGTTTTCACAGTTTTGATTTAGGTATGGATAGGGAGACAGAGAGTACATATGATGAGCTACAGCAATGGTTTAGAGCCTAGCATAGCTAAGTTAAGAGATAATTGAGCCTGCCATGATGTTGTTAGGTTGATGGGTGGTGAGGGCCCATATTGACTATCATGAGATCTTTTCTTGTTAGCGATACACTCATCCTTTCTTATCTCTATGATCTGATCGATTGCATAAGACCCGCGATAGCAATAGAACGGGGAAGTATCACTTGGCTACATCCGCCCCTTATCCAGCTAAAGGATTTTCTAATTTAATACACAGTTATTATTTTTTTCTCAACCAGACACATTTTCAAAGATTGCTGTTTATTTTTTTAGCTTACTTATAAGATTGTATGTGCATTGGTAGAATCTATCGTGAAAGAGAATAATCATGTGATGTAAAAAAAATCACACTAACCCCTTGCATACTACGAAGAAATAACAATATGTCATGCAATCTCCTGTCCCAAAATATAACAAGTTTTGGCCTTTAGAATTTGTCCCAAAATATAACAACTTCCCCACCAACATTCTCTTCCCAACCAATCACAACCCTCCATTCAATTTCCCCACCTACCTCCACTTCTCATCCAATCACAACCTTCCCCCATTTAATTCTACCTACTTTCTTAATAACTATATCCAACCTTAAAAATCCTTATATTCTGGGATGGAGGTAGTATTGATCGATGGAAAATAATTTGTCAGTACACAACTGAGTATTAACATATTAATGATGTTTCTTGATTGATTTGCATCCATGCAATTGCATCACCTTATTTGGATTAGCAGCATACAGAAGTACTGGGAAATTTGAATGGCCCTTGCCTCTATTTATAATTTAGTTATTAGCCATGCCAATTATTGTTGAGCTGTGTCGGATTCTTGATACACATGGATGACGTTGTTATTAGTCAACATGTTGCTATTAACTAACATCCATCAGTCTAGTACTTTATTTACACTCATATATATATAAATTTAACTGGGTTTCTGTCAGAATGCAATATTGGCTTTGGATACGTCTGTTCTTGATAATGACCAAGTGGAAAATCTCATTAAGTTTTGCCCTACAAAGGAGGAAATTGAGATGTTGAAGGTACTTCTGTTTACTCGATTTTATTTTTTTTGTTGCAGTTTGGATTTCCCTTTGTTCACCAGGTATTTCTTCTGTTTTTATCCTAATGAACGTACCTTCCGTTTCTTCTTTATTTGTGAGCTCAGAACTACAATGGCAATAAAGAAATGCTTGGGAAATGCGAACAGGTTGGTCAATAGTTTGGTTGCATATTGTGTCCCATTGAGTATTGATGGAAGGTTTAAACTTCACTGCAGTTTTTTCTGGAGCTAATGAAAGTACCTCGCGTGGAGTCCAAACTGAGAGTGTTTGCTTTTAGGATTACATTTTCAACACAGGTCTGTTGACCCTCCTCTCTCCCCTGGTCATGTTATCTTCCTCTCTGTAAGTTTCATGTTGTGACTGAGAATCCTCCCTTTTGACAGGTAGAAGAGCTGAGAACTAACCTAACCACCATAAATGATGCAACAAAAGAGGTCAGTGTTACATCCTGCAAAATTTCAAGTTATGACTTTTCCTTCTGGCTGGCTTATTCAGTTATTGATCACTTTGTGCAGGTGAAAGAGTCTCTGAAGTTAAGGCAGATAATGCAGACCATTCTTACATTAGGGAATGCATTGAACCAAGGAACAGCTCGAGGTATCAAATAGTTGAAGAAAAATTATGGAATAATTTCTTCGATGGTCTTTTTAATGTGCTGATTGGTTGAACAGGATCTGCGGTTGGCTTCAGATTAGACAGTCTTCTTAAATTATCAGATACTCGAGCTAGAAACAACAAGATGACACTAATGCATTATTTATGCAAGGTATGCACTTGGCAGTGAGGAAGTGCTATTAACATATACTGTTGTGTGCTGAAGTTTCTCAGTTTTTGGTGTGGAGAATACCTCAAAATAATTCAAAGTTGGTTAGACTTTAATAGTTTCTGGTGAATTGTGCCACTTGTTATGCATTCAAATATGGTATGCATGATAGTCATAATTTTGTTGTTAATCTCTGCAGTTCGAATAATTTATTCTTGTACAAATTTGAGTTTGGCACCAGTCGTGTCACATAACTTCCTGTGGTCAAAATTATTTTGTTACATATTATCTCGGTCTACTGTAAAATATTTTAAGATGATTTAGCTATAGATTTGACAAAGCTCATATGGATCAAGTCATCAAGCAATTCTGGATTTGTACTATTATTTTATATGAAAGTATGCATGCTCCTGGTCTCCTGGGGATACGTGAGCGTGTAGTTAATGCATTATTAGGCCTCACAATTGGATAATTAGTCTACATAATCGCTTGGTTCCCTTAACAATTGGGTACCAGGTTACCATTTTTCAGAAAAAAAAAACTCACTTGCTATTTGTGCCACAAAGGTTTCGAAGAGCTCTTGTAGGATACCCCCAATTGTTCTCCTAGTTGGTAAGAGGACTATAAATCTCAGATGTAGTTTGATTAAGTATGTCTCATGCTTAATCTAAACTAGAAACAAAAACATGAGTCTGGGCCATCAACTGGATGGATGATTCAGATTTCAGAGCATAATTTCCTTCTATCCTCTTACAGTGGAGGGCTGAAAATTGAGTTGGATCATTACCCCACATAAGCACTAGTATGCGAACAACACCAACTTAAAAGCACCGGAGGCAATTTCTTTGCTTACCCTGTGCATTGCTCAATTCAATTATATCAGAAAAGACGTGTTTTACACTTGTGCAGTTACTACTATTACCCATAGACTATATCTACTGGCTCCCAAACCTTTTGAAAAGGAACAAATTTTAATTGTATTATTTACACTTGGGTAGTACTTGTGAAAAGTGGAATTTTGATCAATTAATAAAAAACTACAAAAGCATGAAACTGAGTTTTAAGTTTTAGATTCAGATTCTAGTTCGTTTGATAGATTTGCATGTTGCATATTTCCAACTTTGTCATTAATGGAAATTATACAATTTTATATGCATGCCAGCATGTGTTCATAATTGAAATGCATGCCCCTCAATCCATGTAATAAGCCATCCCAAGTAAAAGTAATGTAATTAATTCTTTCTATGTATGCCATTTCGATGAATAGGAAAGTTTGTTTCTTGTTTCATGCTTCCATTCCTTTCAAGGAAGCTTTGGACGTATTAACAACAATGTTTTTTTTTCCGCCGGGAAGGCCGAAGGAGGCCATCCGGATATATTAAGAAGGAAAAAAGTAACAACAATGTTTTTGGTCCTTTTCTTTTCATTATCCCATCTAAATATGAACTTATAGAATATTTTCCTTTCAAAAAGGTCAAAGATGACCTATTACCTCTTAATGTGTAATAGGACACCTATACTAGCCAATAGCCATTTGATCAAGAATTCAAAAGAATCGGCATCCATCAAAGTGGAGTACCATACGGAAATATTCAGTGGTAGGCTGTTTTCCACTAACAAACAGAGACACTGAGACAGTGAAAGCGTGGTTTATAGAATTTTGGGTGCATTTGTCTGACATTGCAAGTTACTGATTTCAAACAAGTTAATGTGAGTCTAATTGACGTTATTCAATCATCTTGAAAAGTCAGTTTTCTGGGGAAGTCCATAACATCATGGACTCATGGTATCTTTGCAACTTGCAAGGACCAACCTGGTTTCCTTTTTCCATACACTGGCGCTATTTACACGGACAACTTTTAAGTGAACTTTCAAAATAGTTTTCCAGTATAGCTATTGCTATTCATTCTTTTAACTTTTGGTATGCCATTATAGTGTAGTACACACATACACTGGCTGATAAAGGTTCAGTTTTAGTTCTGCATTTTACTCTGCAAGTTCATAAAAGAGTACCTATCGTTTAATCCGTTGCGTACTATAAAGACTTTTGAACTACTATTCAGTCAGTTGCCTTGTTGTTAGTATTGTTTGTTTACACAGTTTAGCTAATTTCTTTCTATTTCTGTTATATGCTAGCTTCTTTCTGAGAAATTGCCTGAGCTTCTTGATTTTGACAAAGATTTAATTCATTTGGAAGCTGCTTCTAAGGTACTAAATCTTTACTGATTATTATCTTGAATATTGCAATCCTCGATGACTATTGAGCTGCTAATCAAAATGTTGCTCCATAACTGCATTTATTATTTCCCTCAGATCCAGCTAAAGTTGCTTGCGGAAGAAATGCAAGCAATAAACAAAGGTCTAGAGAAGGTTGAGCAAGAATTAGCTGCTTCAGTGAATGACGGTGCAATTTCTGTTGGTTTCCGTGAGGTAGAAAAATTCCCCCTTTTGTCTGAGAAATATTAATCATATTTATAACCAGTCCATTGTATGGAGGAGTTGTAGGTTACTCATTTTTGCCAAGAACACTAAATAAGGTCTGTAGGTTACTCATTAATTCCAAGAAACACTAAATAACTTGACACTGTTATTTAAAGTGATTAAGTTAGTTGTCCCCAAATGATTTGCAATTTGATATATTACAGATATTAGTATACGTTCATACAAACTGCTTTTAGTAATGTAGTATACGTTCATACAAACTGCTTTTGCATGCCTCCTTTGTTAAAGAATGGCCTGAGTCTGACATGCAGTATGTTTGATGAGAATTTGTGTCATGTGTGCGCGAAACAAATGAAATACTACATCCGTTTCAGGTTATAAGACTTTCTAGCATTGCCCACATTCATATAGATGTTAATGAATCTAGGCATGTATATGCCTAGATTCATTAACATCTAATACATGCCTAGATTCATTAACATCTATATGAATGTGGGCAATGCTAGAAAGTCTTAAAATATGAAACGGAGGAAGTACCCTTTTAGGATTGAATCAAGATAAACTGCTTTTGCAGGCATTGAAAAGCTTTCTTGATGCAGCAGAGGCTGAGGTTAGGTCCCTAATTTCCTTGTACTCGGAAGTGGTGAGTCCCTACTGTATTTTTTTTTACAAAGTTATTTGTGTTTGGAAAGATCCTGACAACATTAATTTTGTAGGGAAGAAACGCTGATTCACTAGCTCAGTATTTTGGCGAGGATCCAGCACGATGCCCTTTTGAGCAAGGTATAGTCTTTTTTGTTTTGGTACTTCACATTTTACTAGTCATTATCTTATCTCACAAATAGTTGCACATTTTATCCACATCACCACATATTACTGACCGATCATCATCCAATGTACAAAAATGCAATGATTCTCATCAAAGATCAAAATTTAAAATTCCAGACCGAAAATTCTCGCGCATGGTTAAAAATGGAAGATGGGTTATCTATGAACTGCATCATCGTGCTTCTGTGAATGTGATTAGCATTAATTTATTTATCAGCACAGCTTTATTTACTATGGTTGTTTTTTTTTTCAGTGACATCAATTCTGGTTATATTTGTGAATATGTTCAAAAAATCACGTGATGAAAATGCTCGAACTGCGGAACTTGAGAAAAAGAAATTAGAAAAGGACAAGGAAAAGGCAACTTTGTCTGCAAAGAAAGTCTTGGAATGATACTACTGCTACACTGAAGTTCCATCTTTGCGAAGTAGAGCCATGATCCAGCACCAGCCATGGCGGAGATGCCAAATTGTGTATTGTAAACGAGAACCTGCTTCTGCTTTTAGTGGACATGCAGGGCTGTAATGCCTGGAAGCTGCCTTGTTGGATGGGTGCGATCCACGAAATGGTAGTATCTTAACTCCTTCCGTGGTATATAAGATGTTTTATAGTCTTGGCTAGCTATTGAATGATTGCAGCCTGCATTAGTCCTTATCAATATCAATTTGTGTACACAAGATGTTCTATCCACCAAATATACACAAGCCTGTTAGTATTCCGTATTTCAAAGTCATGTTGGAATGCATTTCTAATGTGGTCATTTTCCTCCTTGCAGGGTGTCATTTGGATTGCAACCTTGGAAAGTTCTGTGATTACCAATAGGCGGCATTGGCGATATGGCTGAGCGAAGTGCAGCGAGAAGTGCTGCTGCTGACAGTTTTGGTGTAAATACAGTAGTTACTAGGATATAGTTGTATTACCTGTACATAGAATATGCAGCCCAAGTGGGAGGAAAGCAATTAAGCAAACAACAGTAGTGTTGTATAATCAAGAACAATCATGTTTCCCTTCGTCACAGGTGTTAATTCGTGGCTCGCCAATTTCTCTTGTGCTTTGCATTTTGCTCCTTTCTAATGCATTGGTTACTCAAGTAAACAGCCATGATAACACCAGAATGCGCGTATTGAACTTGGGTGGACAAGCAATCAAGCTATCTTACGTACTAGCACTGAGAATTTGGGATGTACTTCTCGATGATTTGTTGATCTCATTTTGTCGAACGGATCTACTCCCTCCGCTCTTCTTGTTGAATGGAACTAACCAACGTCAAACATTTCAGAGGGAGTACATATATTTTCTTCTGCAAGTTTGTGATGAAGACATAAGCGCGTAACACTATACAGAAAAACCCATCTTGAGTTTGATTTAGTATTTTGCAATTTGTCAAACTACGGTGAAAGGTTTATGTAGGAAGCAGATGATATTTTTTAGAAATGGATTAAAATCCGACCTCTACATCCAAACTTTGTGGAATTCTGCCCAACAAGCAGTAACCATTCTACTGATGTAGAAGCTACAAAGTTAGTACACAATAGTTGCCCTTAATCACCACATAACAAGCCGCCTAGGTGTACAATTGAGCATTATCATGAAATATGAACCAGTACATTAATTCCTATTTTGAATATGATCGTCTTCTCCCGCTGATTCTTTCACCGTATTTCTGATACATATCTAACTATAATTGAACAAGTTTGTCATGGTCAGCAATGAACACTACAGGAAAGTACAATAAGCTCAGGGATTTCATTGAAACCTCCGTTCCACAGAGACTTTGGGGGTTGTTCGGTTGACTGACTGCAGTGGCTGTCGTGGTGATGTTACGTTTGTTACTGTAGCTGCTTTGCTTCTTTGCAGGGCATATCTAGTCCTATCAAATAACCCCTTTATTTTTTATTTTTAACTTTCTTCATTTTCCAATAAAAAAGGAGAAAGTTTAAGAAAGTAGAGGACAGATACTGAAAGTTATAAAAAGGAGAAAACAAATGAATTAAAGTTTAAAAAAAGTGGAGGGCTTATCTTTTAGCTTTATATTGGTACATGTGAGACAGAAAAGTAATAAAATCTTCTTAAGACAGTAACTACATATGTTCGATACTTCATCTTAGTTGATTATACTCCCTCTGTTTCGAGTCAAATTTCTTAATTATGAAGAAAATTATATTAAATGCGGCATCATTTCCAACACAAAGTAAATATACTATTAAATATATTATGGATATTATGGGACTAATGAGCCCTGTTTTTTTAGAAAATAATGAGCCGTTGTGGGGATTGTGGATTGGTGGCCTCTTCTTCCCCTCCGCCGGCGGCAATCGGCGAAGACGGTGATGTCGGAGGTTCCAAGGCCGCAGGCGCGCGTGCCATATATCTTCACGACCATCTCTTTAAATTCTCCTTCTGATAGCCTACACTTGAATCGATCGATCATTCATATCTGTCGATTGAGAAAAGTTCATTCAAGTGAAGATTATTCATATCGATCAATCGGTTTCTGTTTATGATAAATCATACAACTCCTGCATTGCAAAAAGACCAAGGATGAGGTGATGCAAAAGATCTAGATCTCCAGGATGCGTGCTTCCTCATGACGACCTCTAACCAAATGCATTGGTTACTTAGGTGGATGCAAGGGAAGGATTAGAATCAAACCTATTAAGCATTTGATTGATGCGTTTGCAGTACACTGAACTCTGAATACTCAATACTTAATACGCTAAAATGTCTTCCTCGCGCTAAGGCAACTTACTGAAACTGAAATAAGTGTTTGATAACAAATCAAACTGCAGCTTTTCAGCTTTAAGCAGACACACTAATATATATTTTACAAGAAACCGCAAGCATATTTATACATCTATGTATTTCTTAGTTGTTCTAGTGTAACTTCATTGAAACGTATAGGGCATGAGCTAGAGGAATGCTGCTGAATGAGAGTCTGGTATGCCTCCATCATTGTTGGCCTTGCATGAGGAGAAGCTTCCAGGCAAGAAATGGCCACCTTGATGAGAATTTCTATGCTTTCCTCTTCTGCTGTTGTGGGTGCTGTAGGCCGTTCATCCAATATTTCTTTGACCAATGTATGTTGCTGTTCTGATGACAAAAGAGTTTGCAACAATTCCATAGGATGCTTCCCCATTACCACCTCTAGAACAACAACACCAAAGCTATAAACATCACATTTCTCTGTCACGACACATGTGAAGGACAGTTCTGCACCAAGAAAAGAACAGACAAGAATGAAATAAGTAATAATCATTGAGAAAACTGCACTTTAGGTATTACTCAAATTTTACAGAACATACCAGGAGCTATGTAGCCATATGTCCCCGCTAATGCACTCCAGTTTGATGAATCCGGCTTCAAAATCCTTGCCGTGCCAAAATCCGAGACATAAGCCTTGAAAGCTGTATCAAGTAGGATGTTGTTACTTGTGATATCTCGATGTATTATGGGTGGACTGCAGTCATGGTGCAAATAAGATAGAGCTTGAGCCACATCTTTTACAAGAGTAACTCTCTTAGACCAATCCAGTTCTTTTGCTAGCTCCTCATTTTTTAAGGTCATATAGAGGCTTCCCCGTTGAATGTAGTCATAGACAAGAAAGTTGTAGTTCGGATGGAAGCAGAATCCATACAGTTTGACATTGCTTCTATGACGGATTTGTGACAAGACTTAAAGTCTTGTTTCATCATTTAACTCTTCTTCAACTGGATGAAGCTTCTCGACAATGACTACATTCCCGTCTTGGAGTCGTGCTTTGTAGACCTTGCCAGATCCTCCTATTCCAACGATGTGCTTATCATTGAAGTTTTCGGTTGCCCTGATGATATCCTCAAATGCTAGTCTGCCATCGAAGTTCTAGACAGAAAACATGTTCCTTGCAACAGTAATAGCACTAGCGCTTTGCTGTTGTTTTCTCTTGTTATGAACAAGCTTTGTGATGACAATAATTGTAGCCAGAATGACAATGACCACAACAAGAACAATTGGCAGTAGCAAACTTAGTAGCTTTGGCTTATGGTGACCAGATGCTATAACTGAATAACAAGTTGGCAGGCCAGAGAGATTACCACACAAACCTTTATTGTGAATAAACCAGCTTATTGATGCATTTTGAAGTAGATGTCCTGCAGGGAGAGGTCCTTCCAAGTTGTTGTAGGACACATCAAGAACTGTTAAGCTCAACATGCTAGCGATGGATGATGGAAGACTTCCTCTGAACTGGTTGTGAGACAAATTAAGAATCTCTAACATCTGCAAGGTTCCAAGTTGTTGTGGCAACAAACCATCGAGTTTGTTGTTACTAGCATCCAATATGATTTGCAGGCCTTTCAAATTTCCAATTGTGCCTGGCAAATTCCCATGTATATTGTTATTGTTAATCTTCAAAGATTCTAACCTGATGCAGTCCCCTAGTTCATCAGGTATTGGTCCACTCAAATTGTTTCTTGATACATCAAGGTACCCTAAATTGCTTAGCTTTCCTAGCTGTGCTGGTAAAGATCCTGAGAGCTGATTGAATGATAAATTTAGCTTATATAGGCTTTTCAGATTTCCAAATTCTGCTGGAATCTCACCACTGATATTATTAAGATCAAGTCTGAGCACACCTAGGTTGGACAACTTAGAGAGAGCAGGAGGTAACACACCTGTGATCATGTTTCCTTGAAAATACATTTCCTCAAGCTGGGGGCTAGCAACCCAATTTGGTGTGATCTGCCCAGAGAACCTATTGTATGCCAAGCTGACCGTTTTGAGATGTGGATACACACCAAAATGTTCAGATATGTCTCCCGTAAGCTGGTTTTTGTGCACGGCAATTCTAACCAAACTTGTACATGTCTTTAAGCTTCTCGGAATGGGGCCATCGAAGGTATTCACACTAACCATGAAAGTTTTGAGTCTGCCCCCCATGCATACATATGCAGGCAAGTGTCCTGAAAATTGGTTATTATCAAGCCAAAGGTCTGGTATGCCCGTGAGATTTTCGAATTCCCGAGGAAGAGAACCTGTTAATCGGTTATGAAACATGGTCATCAGTTGGATGTTCACCAAGTTACCGAAAGTTTTGTAGCATCGAATCACAATAACTAAGACAACCAGGGGGGGAGGGGTGAATGGTTAGTATACCAAAAAACCGAAAACTTTTAGCGGAAATAAAAGTTACCCTCGAAATCGACGGAGTTCGGTCTGACTGAGATTGTTCTGCCGGTCTGACCGTCGCCTTGCCGCTGGTGTGACCGCCGGTGAGTCGTCGGTTAGACTGCCGAAACCCGGTGAAACACAAATCGAAGAACTCTTAAAGTGGATGACGACTTTATTGATTCTCTCTATGTTTACAAAGTGCACCAACAACACTCCTTACAAAAATTTTGACAAAACTCAAAACCCTAACTCAAAACTCAACTCAATTGCTCTCAAAAGCGATACCGGGAAGACTCACGCTCTCTCTCTATTTATACCCGAGATAGGCAGCCTAAAGCCACGAATCAAACTCATACTAGAAGTCCTAAACACCTTAGAAAACCCTCTAGTACAAGAAACAAACTTTACATAACCAATCATACCAAATTTGGACTCCTTCCAAATTCGATTCCGCATCCCATACACACACAATACCTCCATCGTATGCCGTATGGAATATCCATCAACCACGTACATCAACTCTAGCCTAAGTATCCCGCATGATCTCTGACCACCACGGACGTCGGCTTATCCCCAAGCCTACTCCCGGTCCATCACCGCAAATACTCTCCCGAGGCATCTAGTCACCTACACATGAAATAAACAAAGAAACCATATTCCGAGACCAAGCTAACTCCAACTTGGCTCATTGTTAGTAAACAACAGTATTACATACGTATAGTATCCATCTAGAAGCCATAATCATGAAATAATCACGGATATCCAAACAAACAACCCGAAACCGAAACCGACACAGAGTCGGCCGGTCAGACCGCGGGCTGCGCCGGTCTGACCGCGCGATACACGCCGGTCTGACCGGCACACACTGCCTGGTCTGACCGGTCACATGAAATGAAATAATAGAACCTGCGATTCACCTGTAAATCCAATCATCTCAAAACCACTTCGTG